TATAGTGCTGGCCCGTCCAGGAGGCTGCTCTTGCCAATGCCAAAACGTGCCAGACCCTGGCGTTGAAGCTCAAACAAAGGTTGTCTTGAAAACAGGCCCAAAATGGCCTGTGCTAAAACCCTGGTCTGGTGCCTAAGTTTCAGGGCAGGTCGATCTTATGAGGGCCTGAAAATGGCCCTCCGTTTCAGGCTGAAAAGACTCAGGGCCTGGAGGGCCCTTTTTAGGCTGAAACGAGACAGGACCTGTAGGCCCTTGTTTTCAGGCTTTCAGGCTGACATGACACAGGGCCTGTAGGCCCTTGTTTTCAGGCTTTCAGGCTGAAACGACACAGGGCCTGAAAATGGCCCTCATTTGCAGGCGAAGCATGTAACAGAGTGTGTGTGTGTGTGTGTGTGTGTGTGTGTGTGTGTGTGTGTGTGTGTGTGACAAGGAGAGTAACAAGAAGGACGGAGGAGGAGAAGAAGGGGAAGAAGAAGAAGAAGTAACAGGAAAACGTAGAAAAAGGAGGAGGGCTCACGTGCTTCTTGACCAATGGGGGAAGAGGTTGGTGGATTGGGGAGGTGGGTAGCCGATGTGTTGCCGTCTCTCTATCTCTTGGGGAAGAGCAAGAAAAAGACATGAGGAGAAGGAGAAGATTGCTGAGTTGAAAATGAAGAATAGAGGAGAAAAAGAATAATGGACGAGTAGGAGGAGGAGGAGGGGGAGGGGAAGGAGGAGGATAGGAAGAAGAGGAAGAAGAGGAAGAAGAGGAGTAGGTTTGAGTCCTTGCCTCTTCTTCTCTCTGATATCTGCCTGCTCTCTCCCCTCTTCCTCTTCCCGTTTCGAGCCCTTGCATGTTCATCTATGAATGCCGTTGTATATCTGTCCATGGTTTCTTTGATGTCTTGCACAGTGAATGATCAGCACTTCTGGAAGCAGTCTTATCTCAGTTTCGTTTGCATTTGATTGCGGACTGTGCTATTGCGTTGTTTTCTTGATAGAGTATTATATTGGTTTTAAGCATAGTGTTGGCCGCAGCATGCTGAGGCCAGATTCTGGAAGTTTCGTCCCCGCAAACAACCCCCTGCCCTCCCTCCCCCTCCTCACCACCACCACAACACACACAGTCGGAATCATACTAGCAGTCATGCCAATGGCAGAATGGATGTGCAGAGCGGTTTTATGGCTGTGACAGATTAGCTGCTCAGAATTACTGCCGTTCTTGCCAGGGGTTTGAACCGACAGTCTGCTAGGATTGCACGGTGTGTGTGTGTAAAGTCGATCACTTTTCTCAGGGGTACCCCTGAGGACGTTTCCAGCCAATTAATACTCTGGGCGACGTGGTGAGTCCTCTTATCCATTCCAGTAAAATGCATCCTGGGCAGACTGTCTGTCCAGGTTCAATGTTACATGCTGAGAGCCTCCACACGGGCCCCTCACGGGACCCGAGGTTGGATAAGGGCCCCCAGGTCGCGTCACCGCAAGCTGGAGGCCCTACGGCCATTTTACTTAGGCCTGCATCGGAAAGACTTCAACTTTAAGTTGATTTCTTATTTATCTATTTACTGATGTGTKTTTACTAATGTGCTGTTGTCCGTTTTGTGGCCAGGTACACAGTTAGGACCAGGGCCGGAATCAGGCCCAGAGGCTGAGCCTCTAATTCAGTTTGGACCGTTAC